TCACACTTGAAATGTGCATTGCTTCAGCTACCACAATGACACCACTATTTTGCATAGTACTTTTATCATCTTGTTCTTTGGTATAAAATGTGAATCCATTAATTATGTATGCACTATAAGAAAACACATGTAAACTTGGACCATATGCTAAACATCTCAACCTTTCTGTTATTGAAACAAGATCTAAATGAAACTTTGAATAAATATGATCCTTAAACCAGGATATAAAACTTTGATTGTGCTCTCGTACTATCCAATTTTCATTTCTATTCGAATTTAAACCTCAGAGTACATCCTTGTGTATTTCAACATACAGGTCAACCTCATCGTCATTGTGCAGAACATACAAATGTACTTTCTTCCGTTCAGCCTTTGATACTGTCACAATTTTATTTCCAGTTAAATTTTTTCCTTCTTTTTTTTCTTTTCGAAAATATGAGTTTTGAGGAGTCCAATGGATTAAACATTGGACACATATTCAGTACAAAACTCAATCGCTTCTTCGACAATGTATCGTTCAATAATACAACCCTCTGATCGACTTCGGTTTTTCACATACCCTTTTAATATTTTCATATAACATTCAATAGGGTACATCCATCTCATATAAGCTGGCCCACACAATTGTGTCCCTTTCACAAGATGAGCAACTAGATATACCATTATGTCAAAAAATAAGGGAAGAAAATACATTTCAAACTCACACAAAGTAATAACTATTTCTTTTTGCAATATTGGTAAGACCGCAGGATCACTCACCTTACTATAAATTGACCTGAAGAAAAAACACAATTTAGTTATGGCACTAGCTGTGGGTCTTTAGGGAAGACGAAGTTCAAATCGATGAAGTTTACACACATGAGCCATCTGTTATTAGATTTCGGGTACTAGAACTATGTTGGCTAGTCAGGTGGTGTATTTCATTTTTATAATGAACTGGCATCGAATAGCTTCTCGCACCTCTTCATCAATGTCAACCATCTTCTTTTCACCAACTTTTTACTTCCTTTGTGCCCATGGTTTGGAAGAAGGGTGGACGAAAAGGTGATGGCTCACAACTTTGGTGTCTATCCCAAGAATATTAGAGAGATTCCAAGAGAACAAGTCGAAATTTTTAATGAGTTGGTCGACCAGGTCACATTCTTCCTCCTTAGAATGTGAGCTTTTTCGCTCCCGTGCCAAATGTGAGGTCCTAACACTCGAGGTCTGTATTTGGAACTTCAAAAAATGGACACCAACAAGGGAAGGCTCTCCCCTCTCTGTCGCCAGGCTACTGTGGTAACACTCCTGAGGGATTTCTTGGTCTCCTCAGAAGGTACCAACTTGCTCTACAGGCAATGGATACTTTAGAACTTTGTACAAGGTGGAAATGATCACCCCAAATGCATTGATGGCGGGTCATCCACAAATGACATTTTATGGAGACCAGACATCCACAATAAGGTAACTGACATCAATCGCCTTGGCATTTATGCCCTAGACACATGTCGTCTATAGGGTCACACGACCCATTACATGTACATGCTCACCTCCTCGGGAAAGGTGATGTTAACCTCTGTTTTTCCTCACGTGACTCTAGGGAAACCATGATATATTATGATTGCTGCAAACACATACCTAGCGTATTTCGTTCGGAAGGGGCTATAGATACTTCCACAAGCGAAACCTCTAGCACGATGTTTGTGTTGAAACATAAGATATGTTTGGATTGATGGAACATAATGAAACGAAGCATAATAAAACATAACAAAGTAGAATGGAGCGGAGCATAATGGAATATAGATCCCACTCCATTGTTTGGTTATTTTTATAAAAAATTTCTTATTCAATCACATACACCAAAATTAGATGAAAAAAATAGAGAATTGGATGGAATGGGATGAAATGATTTCCATCATGATTCATTCTATTTCATCAACTATTTGCCAATCCAAAATGGAATCTCATTAGTTACAACTCCATTCCATCAATTATTTTCAAATCCAAATAATGCAATCTCATTAGTTACTACTCAATTCTATTCCATCCCATACGACCAATACAAACATACCCATAAAGTCTTGTTGGGCACATTTAAGGGGAAGTTGGAAGGAGTTAGAGTGAAAAAGCTATGACCAAGGTTAGTTTTTTCGGGGCGCTATTGTGGGCGCCACTGTACAAGTCAAAAAGTACAACTGTACATATTACCTCTGTAAGTTTAGGGAATCTTAGAGGCCTTAGTAGGGATATTCCATTGTATGGTGGTTAGGGCTGACCCACGGTGGCGAGAAACCATGTATGGTGGTATTTTGTGGTGGTTTAGAGGACCTACTCAGATGAGGTGATATACTATATATGTGAGAGTATGCTTAGGTATGAGCGTATGAAAGTTGTGGTCTGTCTAAGTTAAGTACTCCTTTCAAGTCTTAAAAGTACTTTGAAATCTTAATAATTTGTACTATAAATTCTTTTAAATCCACATAGAAAAATCAAGATTATAAACCATCTATTAAAAATTTGAAAAGTTAATAGTTAAAATACAAAGTCTATTAAAATGTATAATTTTTTTAGGAAATGCTAACGAGTGTCCCATATGTATTTTTTAAGAGATTAAAAAGATAAGTTAAATATTCTTTAAGAGACTAAAAAATAAGTTTATTATATATATATATATATATATATATATATATATATATATATATATATATATATATATATATATATATATATATATATATATATATATATATATTTTTTTTTTTTCTGATGCACACAAAATAAAAATAATTAACTTTTAAACAAATATTGTAGGTATTTAATACATCAAATATATAATATTTTTTATTTTATTTAAAATTCTTAACCAATGCCTCCAAAACACTCATTAGCATCGACCTTACTTTTTTTTATCTATTAATTTCATTTAATCATTTTTTAAAGCATTGATATCTTTTCTCAACGCAAGATTTTCTTCTTTAAATTGATCGAACACAACATTTAGCTTCTTTGATTATTTTTTATTTATATAAATAGTGATTAAACGATGTGAATTTTAATCTTAAATTAAATTAAATAGTATATGTAATCATATAACATATCTTTTTATTAATTTTTTTCTCAAATTTTTAATGTATGGATTTCGCGAAAAATTATTTACACCTAGCAAGATTCTGAACATGAAATAGGGAAAGAAACTCACCTGAAGACCAAATCTTCATCACTAAACCAACCCTTTAAGGGGTTTCTTAAAAATTCACACTAATACATGATAATAATGATATCGGCATTTTATCCTTAACCTAACTAATATAAATATTCACTAATAAAATAATAACATTATTTTCTGAGAAGGGATATTCATAATAGTTTGTTTTGGAAAACTTAATTTATTGTTATATATATATATATATTAGAATATCAAAATTAATTTTTATTTTTTATAGCATTACTCAGTTTTTTTAAACATATTTAATCTTTATATAGTATATTATCATAAAATATACTTCAAATGTATTTTCTAATTTTTTTTAAAACTAAAATTATCTAATATATAAATATTTTTTAAAACTAATTTATTTTTTCAAAAAAAGACTTCTAAAAAATAATATTTGTTTTAAAAACATAAGTTGTTTACTCATGTTCATAGTATTAAAAATTTTTTTATATAAAATTATGTCACAAAGCTTTTAAAACACATCACTCTTGAAAATTAATTTAATTAAAAAATATCTTAATGTTGTGTATCTCATATTTTATAGAATCACAATTTTTATACACAAATTATTTTGATAAATAAATTGTTTTAGACTTGCTCTTAAAAACAAACAACTCTTAATATTTTAATAACAATTTATTACAATAATTAAATTATTATTAAATATTGATTGTTTAGTTCAAATTTAAATAGTAAGTTTAGAACAATTTATATAACACAATAAAATGTGAAAAATTAGAATTCTATAAAATAGAAGATACAACATTAAAATAGTTTATTTTATCAAATTAAGATTCAAAGAGTGATGTTTTAAACAAAATATTATTTGACATGGTTTTATGCAAAAATAATTTTAATTCTAGAAAGATGAATAAACCGTTTATGCTTTTCGTTATTTTAAAATTAATATTATCTTTTAAAGATTTTATTTTGAATTTTTTTTTTAGTTTTGACCATTGACCATTGAACACAACCTTATTTAATACAAACTTTTTAATTAGAAAAAATTCAACATTCTTATAATAGATGGGAAACAAATATATTTTATAAAATAAAATACTGAATTTGATCAAATAATGATTCTTCCCTTACAAATTTTTTTATTTTTTTTTTAAAATAATTCATTGATTCTAGAATGACCTCGTCTGTTTTAACTTTAAAAAGATAAATATTTTTATTATATTTCCAAAAATAATTTTAAATATTACAATTTTGTTTTAATTTTTATTTTATAAAAAATAAAAATTAATTTTGATATTCTAATATATATATATATATATATATATATATATATATATATATATATATATATATATATATATATATATATATATATATATATATATATATATATATATATATATATATATATATATATATATATATATATATATTATTGAATATCAAAATATTGTCAAATTCACATTATTTTTAAAAAGATATATCTCAAAAATGACTTTTATGAAAAACTATTTGAAAGAGCTTCAAATTTAAGTAATTTTTAAAAAATTATAGAAAAATGATAAAATATCTAAAATAAAATTTTAAAAATAACTATTTAAGCTATTTTTCCTTTGAAGTTTTTTTAAATCCTTTGTAAAAAAATTTTTAAACAAAAATATATTACATTATTAAAATAATTTTAAATTAAACTTAAACAAACTATCCCAAAAAAATAAAAAAAGGAAAATAAACCCAAAATTAATAATTGCCTTTAATTTACTTTTCCACTTTGTACTATAAATAGTGTGACAATAATCACTCTTTTCTCACACAACACTAGTTTACACATACACTAAATTCTCAAATGGCTTCTATTTTCAACCTTCTGTCCATCACTCTCTTCCTTGCCCTAGCTTTCCAAGGTATCATACCTTTCATAGTTTGTAACACTATCATATTAATAATCTCTTCAGCTAGGGTTTTTGTTTTTATCCACTCAATCGTATTATTTTATTTTTTAGTAGTTAATTATTTGATTTATTATTTTTATTATTTTCATTATTTTGACGTTTAATTTATTGTTAACATTGTAGTTTATGGACAACAGCCTTGTAGTTTGAGTAACATTGAGGTTAAACAAACCAAAACATCAGGATCTTTGTGGAATGTTACTGTCACCAATAACTGTATTTGCACTCAATCAAATGTGAAGTTCAATACCAAAGGATTTAAGTCAAGTACACCTGTTGATCCAGCAATCTTTAGCCAAGATGGTCTTCTCATCCAAGGAGCACCATTTTATGGATTTAAATCTGCCACCTTCACCTATACTTCTCCTTCTGAGTTTAAATTTACACCAATTTCTTCCCAAGTTGCATGTTCTTAGGAATTACAATTATGTTTTATTAAACAAAAATAAAGTAGTTACAGATTGTATCAAGTTTTGAAACAACTATGAGGCGTTATATTGTAATATCAAATATATTATATATGATATTCTCTGTTCCTTTTTAAATTAGTTATATTAATTTAGTTTTTATTTACTATGATATTAAATTCTTTAAAGCATATTGTCATGTTATTTCATTTGTGTTACTATTGTAATTTTTGACATGAATATTTCCTATTTGACTCTAAGGTTATGGGTTAGAATTCATATTCTTTTTCATAACTATACATATTTGATTGTTTTTAAAAATATTTTTTTAGTATCAATTATTCTTATTTTGTTCATCAATATTATTGAAATTTAATTTTTTCTAAATTTTCTCGTTTAATTTTATGAAGTATCCTTGAAGATTCATCATTGTTTGATGAAGATATGTGATATAAGATCTCAGAAGAATTTTTGAAGAATTAACCAAAGTAGGTTTTTTAATTATTATTTATGAAAATTATTTGTGATGTTAATGAAAAACTACAAAAATTAATTATTTGTGATATTGTTAATGAATAACTATAATTGTAATACTGAAGTATTATTGAAAAAAGTTTCACAAATAAACCTTTTTTGATTATTATATCTAAACATATTTCTTAGAAACTTTGTTATAGTGAATTGTGGCCGATAAACTTTAACTGTCACGGTTACGATTCAATAAAAATAAATAAATAAATAAATGATGTTGATTAAAAATATTAAAATGTCACATTTTAGATTATATTATATTATTATAAATGAATGTTTTGTTATATATATATATATATATATATATATATATATATATATATATATATATATATATATATATATATATATATATATATATATATATATATATATATATATATATATATATATATATATATATATATATATATATATATATATATATATATATATATATATATATATATATATATATATATTTAGTTTGAAACAATAAAAGGCTTATGATTAATGTGTGTCGCGGGAGTTTCTTCATAGTTTGTTAGTAAAGATGAACTTTGGATATAAGTGGTTATCTTGGATTCTATCATTGGTTTGTAATGGTTTAATGTCACTATTGGTTAATGGTAGTGCAACAAGAGATTTAAGAGTCAATAAAGGTCTGTGTTAAGATGATCCCTTATCGCCTTTCCTTTTCATTCTTATTATGAAGGCCCTAACTTAATTGGTAAAGAAGGCGGAGAATAAAGGTTTATATAAAGGATTTAGGGTTAACTCTAATGTCTATTATAACATTACTCAGTTTGCTGATGACACTTTAATGATGGGGGAGGCTATTTGGAGTAACCTTTGGTGTATAAACGTAGTGCTTCGTGGGTTTGAATTACTTACGGGCCTTAATTGAATTTCTTCAAAAGTAGAATTGGAGGTGTAAACTTAAGTCTAGAATTTTTGGAAGCAGCTTCTTCCTTCCTGAATTGTGAGACAATGAAGATCCTGTGTATTTTTCTTGGAGTGTTCATAGGTGATAGTCCAAGGAAGTCCTACCTGTGGAAGGGAGTTATTGATTAAGTGAGGAGCAGACTTGCCGATTGGAAAGGGAGAAAGTTTCCTATTGGAGGTAGAGTAGTCCTTATTAATTCTGTCATTAATGCTCTTCTGTTATATGGCTTTTCATTCTATAAAGTTCCTGTAGGAGTTATCAAGATCCTACAGGGTATCCAAAGTAAGTTTTTGTGAGAGGATGTGAATCAAGGATGAGAATGCATTGGGTGGATAGGAACTCAATTTGTTTGCCTAAAGAGACGAGTGGTCTGGGCATTAAGGATTTAGGGTATTTCAACAAAGCCCTTCTTATGAAATGGAAATAGAGGTTGTTGAATTCAGAAGAGTGTGTGTGGAAGGGGATATTGGAGAGTAGGTATGGTAAGAAAGCGTTAGCTTTGGAAATTAATAGTTATGAAGGGATGAAAGGTAAGAGAATCGATTAAACATGATGGAGAGACCTTTTGGGTTTGTGTTACGACAATAGTACAAAAGACGATTTTTTGTTGAAAATATAAGGTGTAAGTTGGGGAATGGAGTTGGAGTGTCATTTTGGCATAATAGGTGGATTTTAGAAGTCCCTCTTAAGGAAATATTTCCAAATTTGTTATTGTATATTGTTAACTCTTGTTGTTTTATTGCTGGGTCGGGAGAATGGAGAGTGGAAGAGTGGGAATGGAACCTAAGTTTTCTTGATTTTCCCCCTGATTCAGTTATGGCTAGGGAAATGAAGGATCTAATTGATATATTGGGGGTTAGAAAAGCCAAACCGTGACTGTGTTGATATTTTTTCTTGGGAGCCAACTATACCATTATCCTCTTCTACTAATTCTTCTTTTTCAGTTGGTTCCTATTATAAGGGTTTGTCTCAAGACATATTGGGCTGTAGTGTAGGAGATGAAGTGTTAAGTGGCCTCAAGAAGATGTGGCAGAAAAGTTTACCATCTAAAGTGCCAATTTTTCTTTGGAGAGTTTTGAGGAACATGATAGCTTCGAAGGAGCTTTTGGCTAAGAGGATTATATTGGTTAGAGGGGGGGGGGATTTGAGTTGTAAATCATGTGCTTGTCCTGTGGAATACAGAAATCACATGTATTTGTATTGTGCTATTGCAGGTCCGGTTTGGAAAGATATCGAGATTTGGCTTGGTGTCAGTTTCACCAGAAGTAACAACTGTCTTGATTCCCTCTTGAATTTTTAAATAATTGTCAAAGGAGCTACGGGAAACTCGAGTGGTTTAATCGTGTGGGCATCAACAATGTGGTTTCTATGGTATGGTAGAAACTCTGTTATTTTTGACAACAAATCTAAGTCTATTGAAGATCTTATGAATTCCATTAAGTTTTTCAGCTGGAAATGCTTATATGTTGATAGATCATTTAATTGTAGTTCTTTTTATGACTGGTATACTGTTCCTATTGAGTGTTTATAGAGGAAGAAATAGTTTGGTTTGTTCTGGGTTACTGCACCCCTTGTGCAGTCTTTTAATATATCATTGCCTTCAGATTTTTTTTATTAATAAATAAATATACTATTTATGTTCTTTACATTTATAAAGAATGTGGAAGTAGTTTGTACTCAATTGAATAGTTTTTGATAAAATCAAATTGGATAATGTTTGTTAATTTTATCCAAAGAGACTAAATAAACTTTATATCTTCATGACAATATTACTCCAAGGGTCCTTTAGAATAATTAATTGTAATAGATTGGTCCTTTACGCTTTTTTTCTACAAGAAAATCCTTTAAATTACATAATGTCTACACCGTTGGTCTTTTTTAATTATTCCATTTCAAAAATGCACAACTGCTGAGATGACATACATTTGAATATTACTTGAAATAATTGAGAAAAATATTTTTCTTCATCATTAAATCCCTAGAATATATGTATCAGGACCCAAAAGAGTTCTTCTTCTACTTTCTCTAACAATTGCTTCATACGGTATATATTTGTCAAATTCATATAGCCCTAACTGTAATTCATTGATTTCGAGTGCAAGCCATGGTGAAATCGAACCAAGGTGCGCTTGTGAGGAGGAAAAGACAAAATTTTGGGAAGCTTTTTGGGGCTACAGAAACTTTGTGGTAAGTTTATTGCTATTGTCTGCTTTGTCTTATTTGATAATGCTAACTGTTAGATGTTAACATTGTGAAGGTTCAAACTGTGGCTATAAATTTTTTGAGTGGGTTGAAAAAGAGTTCAATGGCGAAGGGCAAACAGAAATTAACACTCAAAGGAGATGTTCAAAATGCGATGAAAAGGGCGCATAAATCAAAATGTTGAATAAAAAGATGAAGATCCATGAAGATGACTACTACATAAAAGAGATGATGAAGAACATGTTGAAGATGCTAATTTTTGTCACAATGTTTTTAGTTGTGATTATTGTAATGTTGATGTGCATGTTGATCCAAAAATAGTGATTATGGTTTATGTTGATGTTAGTGTTGTAAGACAAGATATTAATGTGTTGTTGTAGTAAATTTATTTAATGTGATGCTTATTTTGTGCCCAATTTTTCTGTCAAGTTTTATGTTGCCCATATTTGTTGCAGTAGGGAGATAGTTTGTGCTCATATATGTTGCACTAAAGAAGAGTGAAAGGACATATTTGTTACACTAAAGAATAGTTAAATGACATATTTGTTACATTAAAGAATAGTTAAAGGACGTATTTGTCACACTTTAAGAGATTGTATTAACTGTTGTTTAACAACTTAGTATACTATCACATTTTATGTTGCAGTAAGGACATAGTTTGTGTCCATATTTGTTACACTTTAAGAGACATTGTAGACATCATTGACTAAACATAAAAGGCTTTAATATTTTTCATTAAGTAACCAAAATACCATCCAAAATACATTAAATAACAATCCAAAATACATAGTAGACATCCAAAACATAAAGTGATGATTCAAATTACAGATTTCTAAGTCAACCATCTACACTCCAAAAAAACAAAAATACCTACATGGTCATAGTTCAGCAAAATATAACAGTCAATATTCTAATGTTGTTTTCTCTTTATAGGCAGCTTAGGTGTTGTCCTTCTTGGTGGCTGAAAAGCTACTGTTGGTACCTGAAATGATGTAGTCTCTCTTCTTAGTGATACTCTTGTTTGGAGTGTAATGGTGTGGTCCTTCTTTGCTTGAAGTCTTGTTGTTGGTTGTCTCCACATCAGTTTTTTCAACTGCTTACCAGGAAATCTTTTTCTAAATTTGTTGTACTAATGTCTTACACATAACATTTGGTTAACATCTGGCAACACTTTTTCCAATGCAGGTAACAACCCCTAAACATAGAAAAATAGTTAAACATATAGTTTATGTTGCTAAAATGTTAATGACTATGTGAATGTGATTTGTACCTTTTGTTGGTCTAGTATAAAGGTGAATTTCTTTCAAACTTGTGGATCACCTAAACCTCGAACTAGAAGATCAAGAAACTA